TCTCTCTCTCACCAGCTCTCTTTTTGACCCTCCCACTCTCTTAGGACATACTGCATGCTCTCTCTTTCCCCATCCCCAACCTTCTTTCTGTCTCCATTCTCCTCTTACTCTCTTCCCCCCTCTCTCTTGCTTTCTCTGAAAGTTTCTGGTGAGGAAAGGAGAAGACGTTTGGATGATTTTGACTCCTCCATCAGGTTGTACATTTACATGACTCTTCTCTTTTGAGAGCTTGATCTTGAGGTTTAGTTGATCTGGAGTTGTAGAGTGCAGTGCTGTGTCCTTTAGACTGTGATTTGTGCTAACGGTGCACGTGTGTGAGTGAGACGTGAGGGGTATTAGGGGAGTCTGGTGATTCTCAAATCATCTGTGGCTTAGTTACAGTGACTCTAATCTCATTGCTGTCTGATTCTGTCATCAGCTGTTGCTGCTGTAGTTTAACAGCATTGTGTTGTATCGTCCTGTGGTTTGTAGTTGTTTAAAGCCAGGTGTCGTAATCTGTATTATATTTGTTTCAGAGAGAAAAGAAGATATTGCAGGCTGCTGTTGTTAGCAGAACTCTTCCTAGCCTTGTGAGTGAAACTCTAAAAATAGTGCACTTATGCATGTACCCTTGTGTTTGTGTATGTTAATAACAGTGGTGGACAGTAACAAAGTAGTTTTACTTCGTTACTGTACTTAAGTACATTTTTCAAGTATCTGTACTTTACTGGAGTAGTTTTATTTTGAGTAACTTTTACTTTTACTTCACTACATTCCAAAGCATAAGATCGTACTTTTTACTTCACTACATTTCATAAAACTTATCGTCACTCATTATAATATATCACGTGCTCCGAGACGCAGAAGCCATGTCTGATTCATGAACGAACTGATTATTTTCAATGAACCCGTTAAATTGGTTCGCAAATCGCACCAAACGATTCATTCACGAATTGGAATGATCCGATTGCAGCTGTTCTCGAGTCGACAACTCACTGATTCAAATGATCCGTTTAGTGCGAGTATCCAGTGAACTGAATTCACAAGTAAGAACCGGGAGATCTTGTGAGCGCGCGCGCGTCTGATGCTGTTAAAAGTAAGTTACTAATGTCGAATTTTAGTATTAATTATTGTAACTGAAAATCATATTTAGGTCAAAGTTGTCAGTTGTTTGTGAATTAAATCTGCTGTAAAGGGTGATCTGTTAATGCTTGGATGCAGACACATTAACATCAGAGTCTCTATGTTTTAGGTCAAAAACATTAAAATAACACAGAAGACACCTTGGTACACCACAGTTTGAAAATAAAGGAAAGGCTTTTAACTAGGGCTGGGTATCGAGTTCGATACTTTTTAGGCACCGACCAAATTGCCTCGATACCATCGAGTATCGAAAAACGTCTTGTCGTTCGGTATCAAATTTCGATACCTAAGGGGTTAATCTCATCAGCGTCAGTGAGCCAATAAGCCTGCAGCACTAAGCTGAAAAATAAAACCAAAGTTTTTTTTTTAGATAATGTAATCTTGTTAAAATTGATTTCATAAAATTGGTATCGAAAAAAGTATCGTTCAGGAACCGGTATCGAAGTCAAGGTATCGGTATCGGTATCGATATCGAAATCGAAATCGAAAAATTTTGAACGATACCCAGCCCTACTTTTAACAGAGTCAAGTAAATTATTAAACTACTGTGTTTAAAGGCCACTGACTGTGTGTGTGAGGGAGACATAGAGACTGTCATTTCTAGCATGCTGACAAAGAGATAACTCAGATATTTATATGCACAAACTCCTCATTGCAGACTAGATATTTATTTATTTAAAAAAGAGAATAAATTTGACTGTACATTCTGATTGCATGAGCTGCATCTAAAGGCTAATATGCAGATATATTGTACATGTAAGCAATATGGAATGAGAGGCTGTGCTATAGTACTGCGAATATAGTCATTGCAAAAGACCACTGATAGGAATGACACGTAGCAAAGTGTTTTCATCAAGATTAAATTGCGATTTTTACCATGGATAAGTTTTTTTTTTGGCACTTCTAAATGGAGTTTTGAGTACAACTGAGCACACAGAGTTGGTGGAAAGTTCTACTAAAGAAGAAGATGAGAGCAGACTGAATGAATGAATGAACAGTTACAGCATGGGAAGAAATGAGAGAGAGGAATAGAAGCTCAGACAGTGTTAAAAACTGAGACATGATGTGACAGCAACACGCATAGCACATATACTCGGCTACTCAAAGTACAGGATTAGTAAATTTCATATGTTTTATAAACTCAGAAACTGTAATATATGACTAATTACATTTTCTTGACATGTTTATGTGCACATTCTTAAAAGCAAAACACTTTTGAAATGTTCATTAGTCTTTTTGTGTGTGTGTGTGTGTGTGTGTGTGTGAACATCTCTAGTAATTTTATTTGGATTTTGACTAATCAAACTTTACCTAGTTTTACCTATATTTGTTATGGATTAATCCATTTATCAGATGCTTTCAATCCAAAATTGGGCTAATTGAGGGCAAAAAAGGAGCAAATATTCTACCTCTTAATTTTGATTCTCAGTCACCATGCAGACATACGCATAGGAGTGGGCGATATGGCAAAAATATATCACACTTCATGAAATCATGATTCGTGATTTTATCACGATTCTTTGTCATGTTGGTTTTACTATTTTGCAGGTTGAGCAGTACAGCCAAACTAATTTCTCTATTTTAAAAACAAAGCCGTACAAATAAAAAAGAATAGGAGACATTTAGGACAAAGTGGACGAAGATAAAAAATGTTTGTCATTATTTTTGTTTTTTGTTTTTATTTTGTTATTAAAAAATAAGAACAAAGATACACAAAAAAATACACATAATAAACAAATAAACAAACAGACAGTGCCTCCTTACAGGATGTGTATTTAGCAGTAGCAGTCAAGAAATTGAATGAACAAATATAAAAATAAAACAGTACGTTTCACGGTATAAATTATACACTGATCCTTATTAAAGCAACTGTATTAAAGTTCTTTAGTCAAGAGCAGTTAGTGATTTTTTCTCTTAGTGTTTAGTTATTTTATTAACATTTAAAGAGATAGTTCACCCAAACATGAAAATAATTTGATCATTTGCTCACTCTAATGTTGTTTTAAACCTGAATGACTTTCTTTCTTCTGTTGAACATAAAAGTTATTTTGAAGAATGTGGGAAACCAAATAGTTGCTGGTCCCCAGTGACTTTTTTTTCCTACTATCAAAGCAACTGTTTGGTTACCCACATTCTTAAAAATATCATCTTTTGTGTTAAGCACGAGGAAGAAATGAATACAGGTTTGTTTGGGACAACATGAGAGTGAGTAAATAATAACAGAATTAAAATTTTTGGGTGAGCTATCCCATAAGCGGTAGCATATTTAATACTATTAGTCTGCTGTCACTTTAAGACCTGCACGCATCTAGTATAAAGGCAAGCATCCATTTTTCTCTCAACTCTTTACTTTCACTTTAGACATAACCAACTGTGTTTATATGTAAACCTCGTGTGTTTTTGACAGCATTAGCGTAGTCAGACGCGAAAGATAACTTAGTCCAGTAATCAGGCACTGTTTGACAGGCTTTTTAGTGTGCGCACACTTCAGGTGTACAAGCTCAGAAACAGCACATGTAAGAACAGCACGCAAATGAAATGTTTAACTGGCAAGGCTTTAAAGCACATGCAAATAATGTGCTTTTGTGATTGCGAAGTGCAGTGTCCTGTGAGTTAACACTTGATGTGTATGTATGTTGCATTGTACAGTATATTGAGACGGAGACTCCAGAACTGTAACTGATAAAATGTGCGATGTAGCACAATACTACGAATTTTCTTTAAAATTAGATCGTGGAGACATTTTAATCATCCATGATCAAAAATTGTGGTATCGCACACCCCAGAATCAGTTGCAGAGACTTGCAAGTTTCATGAACAGGCTTGTTTTGAGTTTCTGTATAATTACCAGGCTTTGTCAGAACTGGTGGAGATGTAGGTGCATAATGACAAATGATGTCTAAAAATTTGTCTGAAAGCTTTGTCTGCTGCATTAATAGGTATCTGTGCTATTCACCTAACCTGCGTTTCAGCAAAAGACATGAAGACATGCCAAACCAGAAACCAGCTTCAAAGCTTTATATTTACCCCCACATCTCCTTCATGTTGAAAATATCCTATTACCCATGGAAAAGTCAATTTGCAGAAATGCCCAAATAAATCAGGATGGAGGTGGAAGATTAGGACATATATACTATGAAAGTGAAAACAGCTTCCCCCACCTCTCACTATGTGCTGTTAGTAAGAGAATATAAAGTGTGGGTAGACTCGGGTCATCTTTGCTCACATTCAGTTGTAACCTGCAAGAGCCCTGCAGTGATCGCTAGTGCCGAGGTAATAGAGAAGAGGTCACGCGGAATCATCCACTCAAAAACACACTGAATTGAGTTTTTCAATGAATGTAGTTTCACTGAAAATCACTCAGGGATTTCAGAAAAGGGTCACAGCAGCCCTTAAGCACACACATGGAGTTATTTTTATTGCACACACTTCACAGAGTTGAACTGTGATGTTGAGACAGAGGCAAGGTCAGAGCTTCACATGTATAATGGCCTGCAACAACAAGGCAGAATGCAGTCAGCACCAGAAAGCAACTGCTGCAGATGAGCGTTTGTATGAAACCACTGACAGCTAAAACCAGCAACCAAAAGTAGGTGTTAATCTCATCAATGTGGCTCTGCTAGCTTGCGTCTCATCTGATTTTGCTTTTCCCCTAAAATGTGCATGTGTGTGTGTAGCTATTAATCAACTTCAGTTTCTAACCTCTCCTTCAACCTCCAAGGCCTCCTCTCATCTCCTCTCCTCTGGTAGATTATAGTACAGTTTAACTAGCACAGGTGTTGTGTTATCTAATGCATTCGTGTCGAAAGGTGTAAGCTTCACTTTACAAACAAAGCAACATTAACACAGTTAATCTGTTCCACTCTGGATCTGAGACTGAGAGTGTGTGTATGTGTGACACAATGGCATGTCATATCCAGAAACTGCCTCTGTGCTCATGTAAATATTTACTCAAGCTGAAATGAATCTCCCTCTCTCCCCTTAACCCATGATTTAACTAAAATGAGGGAACAAATTAATACATCGAACAAATTCTTAATTCATTTCCATGAAATCTTTCATTTCCCTTCCG